CAGAAAACATGCAGGTCAAGAATAAAATCCAGCACTGAATCGGGACATTACAGATCAAGCCACTGGTAACAATAATCAAATGTGAGAAAAAACACACATTGACAAGAATGAATTGCCGGAGATCGTCGGAGCGCAGAGAACCAGGAGCCGCAGCATACACAATAACATCAGTCAACAGGAAACATGCAGGTTAACAATAACATAAATCGGTATACAAAGGGTACACTACAGATCAAGCCACCGATATCAAAATACAATTCAAGGAAAAGCACACATTGTCAAGAAGAACTTGCCAAAGCACTACGAGTTGCTGGAGTGTTTCGGAAAGGAGATCGTCGGAGCGCAGAGCAGCAGGAGCCGCAGAACTGAAGGCAAAAGAAAAAGGATCAAGTTAACAAGATATCGGATTTGCAGAATCGATTCACTTGAAGTTCTGAAGTCTTAACTTTTTTTAAAAACTGCCCCAATGTAAAAACATACAAACACGCTCAAATTCAACCAGAAACCAATAGGTAACAGCATGAGAAATCACAAATACATCCCAGTCCCACTACTCCAATATTTAGAAAGTAGGTTCAGCCTATTATGAATAAAATAACCCATAAAATGAACCAGCAATTTAGTGTTTCCTATTTGTATTCAGCAAGAGCACAACTAAACGAAAAGAAGTGATAACATTGGTATACAATCGTTCTACTGTTAAAAAGCTGTGAAATACGTGTCGTCTTTAATACACAAATATAAATAGTATAGCGTAAGAAAAGAATAAAACTTACCTCGGAAAAAAACTTCATAAATGGAGGCCGGTTTTTGAAATCCTTATGTCACCTGGAGAAATAAGAAAACATACGAATTAGTACATTTAATCTTTGCAAAAGTTGATCATTTCGGAACGGAAAGCGAAAATATAACCCGATTCCGCAAAGCTGAGATACTAACAGTTAGATACACAGTTACCAACTTTATACAGCAAGTGACTGAAGATAAATTACAGCTTTTTTCGTTAAAGGAAATAGAGCTAGAGATACCACGTCTTTAAAAACATACTTACATGAAAGGTAGTATAAGAACGCTGAATGCAGACTTTTGAAACTTCGAGAGCACGCTCAAACAGACAGGACACTCATTTCGGCGTCCTAAAACACAAATTAAACAGAAACAAGTGCAATTAACAAAAGTTGCAACAACAATACATTTTTGTCTATCTTTCCTCAAAGTAAAATTGTATTTTTTGCATTTAAAATAAGAAAAGTAGAATTAAAACGCAAACGCACCTCACGCCGCAGAAACTCATCCCGCCGCCATCTTGCCGGGCGCACCTGTGAAATCAAGAGTTTTTATTTCACAATGCGCAGCAAATACAATAGCAGCAGTCTACAGGAAACACTCAGGTTAAGAATAAGGCAAATCGGTATACAAAGGGTACACTACAGCCACGGGTATCAAAATAAAGTTCAAGGAAAAGCACACATTGTCAATAAGAATCTGCCAAAGCACGACGAGTTGCTGGAGTGGATTGGAAAGGAGATCGTCGGAGCGCAGAACTGAAGGCAAAAGAAAAAGGATCAAGTCAACAAGATATCGGATTTGCAGAATCGATTCACTTGAAGTTCTGAAGTCTTTTAACTTTTTTAATAAACTGCCCCAATAAAGAAATATTCAAACATGCTAAAATGCTATAACTAGCCACTAGGTAACTTTTAGTGTGGATCTCAGATACAACCCAGTCCCACTACTCCAATTGTTTAAAAAATACGTTCAGACTTACAGAAGATTTTTGAAATTCTACTTCTAAATTTAAGATCAAGTACCACTCATAGCGTTTATCATATTCGATTTAACTCCACGCATTGAACACCATCGTGCAAATATGTTGGTATTATCCACCTTTACCCAATGGATTCAATAGATAAATAAAAGAACCAGCGCCGTAGAGTTTCAATTTCGATTCAACAAAAGCACAAGGAAAGGAGCAGAAGTTATATAGTTAGTATAAACCCGTTCTGGCGTTAAAACGTCGCGAAATACGTGTTGCCTCGTCGAGTTGCACAAATTCAAACAGTATAGTGCAAGGGAGAAATAGAACTTACCTTGGAAAAACACTTTCATAACTGGAGGTTCGTTTTTGACATGTTTTTCTCACCTGGAGAAATAAAAACATACGAATGATTAAATTAAACCTTTACAATGTTTTATTATTTCGGAGCGGAAAGCGTTATTATAGCCCGAATCCGACAAGCGGAGATTTCACAGCTACTTACTTTAGAAAGCAAATGTTTGAAAGTTAACTACAGCCTTTTTTCGTTAAAAGAACCAGACCTTATCTTATAAAAACATACTTACATGAAAGGTAGTATTAGAACGCTGAATGCAGACTTCTAAAACTTCTAGAGCACGCTCAAACAGACAGGACACTCATTTCGGCGTCCTAAAACACAAATTCAACAGGAACAAATGCGATTAACAAAAGTTGCAACAACAAAGTGAAATTTGTATTTTAAATTAAGAAAATTAGAAATAAAAAGCAAACGCACCTCACGCAGCAGAAACTC